ATGTTCAATACTCATGTACGACCAAAAGACTTCAAACTCAGCTGCCCAGGACTACCCGGCGCACACGTACGAGCAGATGAAAATCTTGACGGGAGAATCACTAGCTCGGGGACGAGAAAACCCAGAATGCTGAAGCTTTAGGGAATGTTCGTTGCCCATGTATGACTAAAAGATTTCAAATTTAGCTGCCTAGGACTGCCCGGGACTCACGTGCGACCGAGTGGAAATTTTGGCGCGAAAATCGCTAACTCGAGAACGAGGCTTTAATTTTAAGGGAGTGGTCTTTACTTATGTGCGACTAAAAGATTTCAAATTTAACTCTTCTAGTAGGTCCTTTTTCGCGGACCAACAACTTTCTATTTCTCGGGTCACTAAAGTCGACATCTAGGACTGACATGCCACACAGCTGCACAATTAGCTTCCCGATCTTCCAGGGCCAGTATGTCACAAAGGACTACGATGATTCCTTGCGATGTTGTGGCAGCAAGATAAGTGCAAAAACACATAATCGCACCGGCCTGCCTCGTGTTAGTTTAATTTTAAATTTACTTCAATGAGTGGTGTATGGTCGCTGGAATTTGCGTAGGAATTGCAGCTGTATATACCGTCGTTTATGCTGGTCATTGTCTCATGGGTAAGCTTCTGGCTCGACAAGGATTCTGTGCCTGCGCGTGTTACTCTCGGTTAGAATGCATCTCGATTTTTATTATTTATTTTAAATTTAGATGTTTTATGAATATGAAAGATTGTAAAAAATAAAAATGGGAATATGAATAAAATAAAATCTGAATGGGAATGTTTCGGTGCATCAAGTTGCATACATTCCTATTCAGTGCTGCAACTGGACCTCGTCAGTGTGACGATTGCAGCGGAAATAAAGGTTACATGCAATGTGCAAAAATGAGAACTGAAATGGAAAATGAAAACTTGAAAATTGAAAAATCGAAAGTTAAGAAAGTTTTTTATAAAAACATTACCTCCACCATTATATAAGTTGATTTGGGAGAGTACTTGCAAAGTCAAAATAAAATATAATGAAGTTAGAAGGTTTTAAAAGAAAAAAGATTTTAAAAAGATTTTCAATCTTTATTATTTCTTGTCTCGTCTTCTGATCTTATTAATTTTGCTTTCTTTTTTCCTACGTGTATCAGGAATATTTGCACTTTTTGTGTGTTCTTTTATTTTTGTGTATGTCTGTGTGTGCTTTTATTGCATTTCAGGTGTAACTACTCTTCTGACGATGACCACCCAAAGCTCCGGCATCAACGCTAAACTTCCCCCTGTTTCCTACACCAAGGTTCTTGTACTCTGTTTTACGCTAAAAAGTTATTTCAAACTTTTAAATTTGTTAGCTTCTTATTATCTGCCGTCATTAATTACAATTACCACGACAGCCATGTTATTACGGTTATTATTGATGCAGTAATTTTTGCGCGATGACTATCGCCAAGGCTTTGCCATCACATATGTACTTACTTTATACACAAACATATGTGCACGTTAGAAGTAAGAAGGCATAATAATGTTTTAGTAAATATATCAAGAATGACAAGACCGTGCGGGCCAACAGCATGGGTGTCTTTGTTAGTGATGTTACTTGGATGCTCCATATGCCGAAAGTAGTGTGTCAAGCCCTCCGTACCGGCCCATATGCCTCCAGTTAGTACCCACCGCCTGTTTGTGTGTGCGCCACCTCATCAGGGTCGCCCAAGCGGTCGCTTACTTTCAACGTACTTGCTTTCAGTGCGGATATATTTAGTAAAGCGCATTAATAAATGCTGTGGATAAATTATATATAATTTGTATATTTACATGCATATGATAAAATTTGATTTTAGCGTTAAAATTGCTTACTGTGTGCAGGAACTAAAAAGGAATTCATTAGTTAGAAAAAACCCGTCGAATTTTGCAATCGATATAAGATCATAAAATATTTAAGACTGTAGGCTGCGTAGTTCCCAAAAGCGACCAGACAACCTGACGTCACTGTTCGAATCAACTCTTTATAGCAGGCAAAAGTGTGCAATTTTAAATTTTTGGCGCAGATTTTGTCTTTTCAACGCACTTTAGCGCTTCCCAGTTGGTTTGGGCGTCTGCTTAGCTAAGTATTTTTTTTAAGTTGCTTGCCGTAAATTCTACGTTCTTTTAGCTTCACATCACATTTTGCCATTGCTCATATTAGTTTTTCCGACTCATCCCTTCCATCTTTGACGCTTCTCAGTTTATTGTTCATTAACTTTTGCCCTGTCTTAGATATTAATTTTTGCACGCTTCTTTTTAGTGTCCTATTACTGCAAGAGGATGGAATAAGAAAGTAAGTAATTTAGGCTATAGATGTCTGGATTGGTGTCTGCTTAGCATTCATTTTTGGTGCGCTGCTTGAATTTGCATTGGTCAACTATGCGGCCCGAAAGGATATGACCACTGGACAGCGAATGGTTTGTTCGTTTTGGGCCCCATAATAATTCCTTTTGAGACGGTTCGAAGTGTTTTAGAATGGCTGCGCTAGACTCATCAGCTATCCTTTTCCAGTTGAAAAGATGATATTAGTGTCTTTGTCTTGACTATGTGTATGGTTTGCAACAATTTTTAGTCTTAGACTGGATGAATCTATTGCAAGTGGGCTACTTGGAAATTATAGCAGTAAAATTAATTTTACAACTTGAAACAGAAGTTGTTTGACTGTTGTCTGGCATGAACGTTCCACGTGGTAACCATTTAAGCGTTGGATCGGTCAGGCAAGGAGCGTGAAGTCACTTGAAATTGAGATTACCTTGAGTCGTTGAAATAATTGGCAAAAAAAGGCTTGCCTAATTAGGTATCCCAGGAAAGCAAAAATGATAAG